TAATTCCAAATTAATTTCTTATCAATACTAATTAAGTAATATGATTTCTCAATTAATATATTATTCTTATAATATATTAATAAATCACAATTAACCTCTTTCTCTATTATTCATCGTATCAAATTATTATGGTGAAGGCAACCTAAAAGGACCATGCTACTATCAGGTCAAGTACATACCAATTATACTTATGAGCTTAAACACCTAATCCAACACATACTTCATCTTTGATCGTAGGGGATAGAGATTTAAAACATGGATGAAGCAAAAAAACCATCACCACCACTGTTGTACGCTTCCCTGCTCATATAATCAAACCATCATCTCTTTACGAAACCCTAGTGCTGGAGAAGAAGGATCATCGCTGCAAACCCTAGCTCATCCCTTTATCAGATTCTACATCATCGTAGAAGAAGGGTTTTCTGACGGTGCCAGATCCATTCGATCTCTGTTTGATCTTTGTCTCAGTCTGTGTCTCTTCTTTTTTCTTCTTATTCTTTTATCTCGAATGGTGAGCAGCGACGTCGCACCGACGAAGGAATAAGGTTGGCAAAGGGTTTCTGGTAGTCCGACGGATGGGCAATAGTGGAAGGAAGTTGCGATGGGTTTTAAATCTTCAGTTAGGTGGAACAATTTCTATGTTTTAGTGTACAAAAACCACTGTGTTTTCGTGTGTGTGTGTGTGTGTGCGTTTCATTTTTGGGAATTCAATTGGTATGTGGGTGTTCATCCCCATAAGTCGATTTGTATATGAGTGTTCCAACAAAATTCAAAAATCAATTATGCACTCCAGATAAAAGGATAACATAAGAAAGAAAGTCGGTGAGTTGGTGGTCACCAGTTTTAATCGTAGTCACTTCTTCTGATAATGTATATATGTATTCGTGCTGTGTTCTTGAGTTTTGACAAATAAACCCAAAAATCAAGGTGGTGGAGAGAGAAGGTGAGTATTTTCTTTTTCCTTTTTTTTTTTTTTTTTTTTTAATTTTCTATAATAAAAAAACAGAAAAAGAAAATATCAAGGGCAAAATCATCATTATAAAAAAGTTAAAACCAAATTGAACCAAACTCGTAGTAAAATGAAAATTTGGATCTCAGGTGCTAGTCCAAACCTTTTTGAACCAAAGGGATAATTTTTAGATAACCATAGGAACCATTCGTGCAATTTTGTCTTTTGATTTTATGACTTGTAAGAAATGAGAAACTAAGATACAAAGATTTAGAGAGAGAATGAGAAATTACGATTTTAATGAATCAAAATTTATTTGATATCAGTCGACCGTGATGTATGTTAAATTAATAATGGTTAGCGAGAGGCCAAACAAGAACATTGTTGTTGTGTGAAAGGCAAAAGAACATAGCCCTCTCAAAATTTGTTTCCTTCTTTACGAATTCGAAATTTCAAGTTCCAAACATATCAACAAACATCTCTTTCGAAAAAAACATATCAACAAACCTACAATATTAAAACACGGTTAATTAGAAAATGGGCCCTAGAAAGATCGAAATTTGTGGGTTATCGCTCAACTCGTCCTGCTATTGAGTCGTGATGCATGTTAAATTAATAACGGTCAGAGAAGTCATAAGAACATTGACGTTTAAATAACTCAAAAAACTTGCATATAAATAAACGGGTCATTTTTGAGTCATATCCGAGTTGAAATTCTCAACCCTAACATTACCTATTTAATTTTCGTCTCGTGTCGTATCAATCTGTTTATTTAAACGGGTTGAAATATTTTACCTAAACCCGTTTATTTCATGTCGGGTTTGTGTCGAATCAATTTTTGCCACCTCTAGGGTTGTCATCCAACTTGCCTTGCTATTGAGGCGGACCTTCTGATTGGACCAAATTCGATAATTGCATAAAACCTCATTCTTGAATAAATTACCAAGTATTTTGTAATTTTTTATATAAAGAAAATTAATGAATTTTATAAATAAATCAGAATTTTAAGAATTTATTGGAAATTTTAAAAAAATAAAATATTAAAGTTATCTCGAAAGTAAAATACCTGATGATCAATAAATCTCTTAAAAAAGATCAAATAATTTAAGGAAAAAAAAAAAAAAAAAAAACTTTATAGATTATAAGAAAAGTTTAGTTTCATACCAAAAAATCACAAAATATAATTAAAGAAAAATTCACAATCCCAATAAATTCAAGAACCCCAAGAAAAGTAGCACGTGAAAACACAACGGATCGGCACAAACCCACACGTTAATGTCCCTGTGAACTCCCAAAACCCCCAACCCAAAATTTAAGAACCCCAAGAAAAGTAGAAAACGCCCATCGATCTTCAAGCTTCCTGCTCCAGTCTGCAGATCTGATAATTAAGTTCCCCTTATCTTCAAGCTCAAGTTTTTTTTTACCGGAAATGGCGGACTGGGGACCAGTGTTGGTGGCGGTGGTGCTGTTTGTGCTTCTAACGCCGGGACTTTTGTTCCAGTTGCCAGGTCACAACAAGGTGGTGGAGTTCGGAAACATGCACACCAGTGGCGCCTCCATTATTGCTCACGCCGTTATCTACTTCGCCGTCCTCACCATCTTCCTAATCGCCATCGGCGTTCACGTCTACGCAGGCTAGGTATGCCGTTGCTTCTCAATTGTCGTTCAATCACTCCACTGGTTTTCACTTTCTTCATTATAAATTACATTTAACCCCTGTGTTTTCTGTTTATTGGATTTTTACACCCCTCGTTTATGTAGATTTGCTCTTTCATGAATTATATGTATCGTTTAAAAATCATTGGTACAAAATTTTATTTATACCAAATTACCAATAATAGTATACAAATAATTGTAATTTCGGATACTTGGTTGTATGTTATAACTCCTTTGTTGGGATATATACCTAAACAAGTCCCTGGAATAAAAATTATAAAAATAGTTCCTCAAACTTGCAATATAGTTCCTATTTTAATAGAAAACTATGGTCTATACTTAAAAAACAAATTACAAAATTTGTGATATTTACTCTAACAGTCCCTGGCAAAAAATTTATGTACAAATATGGTCCTTCTATCTTACAAAATGTCTTTATTTCAAAGAAAATTACAGAAATGCTCCTTACATAGAAAACAAATTACAAAACGGTGCTTTTTAATTTCAGATTATTTTTACAGGAATGGTTCCTATGTTTCAAAGAATTACATAAATGGTCCCTTCCTGATAACAAATTTATAGAAATGGTTCCTATGTTTCATAAAAGTCTAGGTATAGTCCCTGAATATCAGAAAATTTACATAAATTGTCCCTATGTTTCACCAAGTTATAGAAATGTTCCATGCTTTTCACAAAACTACAAAATAATCCATACCAAAAGCAAAATTACAGAAATTACCCCTACATAGTATTACATAACTAAAGAAATAATCATTGTCTAATAATAAATTTACAGAAATATTCCAAAGAACATTTAAAAGAATTTAAAGTTTAATAATGTACCCTTATGATCATGGTTTATACTTGAACAAATGGTTTTCAATCAATTAATAATCGTGACTTTTATGCATTTTTAGCCAAGCAAGTAACATTATGTTATGATAAACTACTATTCGTGATGATCTAAAGTTAATTTTTGGAAAATGTTTTGATTATGTAAGTCCACAAATATGACCTAACAGATTAACTGGAATACGGCATTCATATGTACCATAAATTTATGGAAGAAAAAGGTTTAGATACTAGGTGAGGATCACAAAAAAAAAAAGGAAGATGGAATTATCCTATGAAATAACAAGTTAGGTTTAGAAGAAAAGTAGCATATTAATACTCTTGGTGACAAAAAAAAAAAACAATAAAAATTATGTGGAGCACAGACCAACCCACTAGTTGTTATCCAAACATCAATTTGTGCAACGGAAAATGACATGATATAATTGTGAGATGCATTAGCCATTCAAAATAATAATTTTTGTTTGGTTGCAGGTTGTGTAGCGGGACATTTGGATATTATATAATTTCAATTCATTAAAGATCAAATATTTTATGAAAAAAACTTTAACTATTTGGCGTCCTATTATGAATGAATGGTATTTATTTTCTTCGGTTTAGTTCATACTGACAACTTGGTTGATGACAACTCCTAATACCGCTATGCCAATGACTATTTTATAATATTTTCATTATTTTGAACCTGACTTTTGTGGTGTCCGAGTTATATATAATAGTGCAGTCCACAGCTCTTGCTTATATTAGATCATAATATTAATCTCTATTGCTGCTTGCAAAATTGACAATAACAGGTAATAGTGGTCGTGATATAACTTTTTTGACTGTATTAGTGGTTTTTTGGAACAAAAAAAATATGGCAGTTAAATCTCTATACATACTTGTAAAACTGACAATAACAGACAATAGTGGTTGCGATATAATTTTTTTTACAGTATTAGTGGTTTTTTTAGAACAAAAAAATATGACAGTTAAATCTGTATTGGTACTTGCAAAACTGACAATAACAGGTAATAGTGGTCGCGATATACCTTTTTGACAGGATTAGTGGTTTCTTTAAAACAAAAAAATATGACAGTTAAATCTTTATTGGTACTTGCAAAACTAACAATAACATGTAATAGTGATCACGATATAACTTTTTGATAGTATTAGTGGTTTTTTTAGAATAAAAAAAATATGCAGTTAAACCGAATATTGGCCAAAGTATAATGGTTTTTATGTTATTAATCGCGAATGCTATTTGCGATTAATAACATAAAAGTCATTATACTTTGACCAATATTCGGTTTAACTGCATATTTTTTTTGTTCTAAAAAAACATTAATACCATCAAAAAGTTATATCGCGACCACTATTTTATGTTATTGTCAGTTTTGCAAGTACAAATATAGATTTAACTGTCATATTTTTTTGTTCTAAAAAACCACTAATACTGTAAAAAAGTTATATCGCGACACTATTACCTGTTATTGTCAGTTTTGTAAGTACCAACAGAGATTTAATTGCCATATTTTTTTGTTTTAAGAAAACCACTAATACTGTCAAAAAGTTATATTGCGACAACTATTACCTATTATTGTTAATTTTGCAAGTACCAATAGAGATTTAACTGTCATATTTTTTTATTCTAAAAAACACTAATACTATCAAAAAGTTATATCACGACCATTATTACATGTTATTGTCAGTTTTACAAGTACCAATAGAGATTAATATTATAATCTAATATAAACATGGAGGTGTGGACTGCACTATTATATATAACCCGAACACCACAAAAGTCAGGGGTCAAAATAATGAAAATATTATAAAATGCTCATTGGCATAGCGGTGGTATTAGAAGTTGTCATCAACCAAGTTGACAGTATGAACTAAACTGAAGAAAATAAAGAGGTGTTTGGGATTACTTTTAAGTGCTCAATTAATACTCGTGACTTTTATGCATTTTTTAGTGAAGAAAGTAACATTATGTTACGAAAAGGGGATAATGACTTAGAGGGTAATAACGTTTCCTGTTTGTCTATTTTAGGTTCCTAACGTATTTTTTGTGCGTATTACACCATTAAGGTTATTATAACCGTTTACAAATAGTCCTTTTAACAGGAAGAAACCAGTAAAAAGATTATTTATAAACGGTTATAACAACCTTAATGGTGTAATATACACAAAAAATCCGTTGGAGACCTAATATGAACAAACGGGAAATGTTATTACCCTCCTAAGTCATTATCCCATAAAACTATAAATCCCTATAATAAATTTTTACTTTTTAAATAAGAAACTTATAAGTTTTGGGGTTGGTAGTTTGGATGTTTTTAAGCTCGACCTTCTTTATAAATGAAAGTGGTGGTTTCTTAATGACAATAGAGCTCTTCGGGTTAAAATTGTCAAATTTTGTCATGGGGAAGGTGGTGGTTTTTCGGACGATTCGAGAATAGGAATTGGAGGGGGTGTTTGGCAAAAGATTGTAGGATCCATTAATCACCTCCATAAGAATTATTGTATTCCTTCTAATTACATGTATAGAGTGGTAGGGGATGAGACTCAAACGAGGTTCTAGAAGGATGTTTGGTGCTTGGATACTCCTCTTAAGGAGCGGTTCGGGAGGCTCTTTACTTTGCCCTTTAATCAAGATGCTCGAGTAGCACCAAACATCCTTCTAGAACCTCGTTTGAGTCTCATCCCCCACCACTCTATAGATGTAATTAGAAGGAATACAACCATTCTCATGGAGGTGATTAATGGATCCTACAATCTTTTGCCAAACACCCCCTCCAATTCCTATTCTCGAATTGTCCGAAAAACCACCACCTTCCCATGACAAAATTTGAGAATTTTAACCCGAAGAGCTCCATTGTCATTAAGAAACCGTCACTTCCATTTATAAAGAAGACTGAGGTTAAAAACATCCAAACTACCAACCCCAAGGCCTATAAGTTTCTTATTTAAAAAGTAAAAATTTATTATAGGGGTTTATAGTTTCATGGGATAATGACTTAGGAGGGTAATAACATTTCCCGTTTGTCCATATTAGGCCCCCAACGTATTTTTTTGTGTATATTACATCATTAAGGTTGTTATAACCGTTTATAAATAATCCTTTTATCGGCTTCTTCCTGTTAAAAGGACTATTTGTAAACGGTTATAATAACCTTAATGGTGTAATATGCACAAAAAATACGTTAGGGACCTAAAATGTACAAACAGGAAACGTTATTACCCTCATAAGTCATTATCCCTACGAAAAACTACTATTCGTGATGATCTAAAGTTAATTTTTGGAAAATGTTTTGATTAATTGGAATATGGAATTCATATGTACCATAAATATATGGAAGAAAGAGGTTTACATACTAGGTGAGGATCACAAAAAACAAAAAAAGGAAGATGAAATTATCCTACGAAATAACAAATTAGGTAAAGAAGAAAAATAGCATATTAATACTCTTGGTAGGCTTGCACAAAAAAGCCGGTTTACGATCCGAACCGGTGGCCGAACCGAAAACCGGTTCACCCTTGAACCGGTCCACTGTTGAACCGATCCGATGCCGAATCGAACCGTCGGTTTGTAGTAATTAAGACTTCTAGCCATTCGAATCGGTTTTGAACTGATTTTGAACCGGTTATGAACTGATTATGAACCGGTTTTACAAATTAACCATGCATATATTAGACATGATATCCTAAGAAACAAAGCAAACATTGTAAAAAAAACAATTCCATCTGAATTTTTTTGAAATTGTTAAACGAACCAGTTTTGAACCGATGTAGGAACTGGTTTATGGTGAATCGGTTTGTACTGAACCGAACCGGTTTGTATAGGTTCGAATTATTTTGGTTGTGAACAGGTTTGAAACTGAATCGGTTTAGGGGTGAACCGGTTTTGACTTCGTTGACTAGAACCGAACCGGTTTTTTGAACCGGTCCGGTTAAAAAAATAACCGGTTTGTGCATGTTTAACTCTTGGTGACAAAAAAAACAATAAAAATTACGTGGAGCCCGGGCCAGGCCACTAGTTGTTATCCAAACATCAACTATTGCAACGGAAAATGACATGATATATTTGTGAATTGCATTAGCCATTCAAAAAAACAAAAAAAAATATTGTTTATTTTTAGGTTGCTTAACGGGAGATTTGGATATTATAAATTCAATTCATTAAAGATCTAATATTTTATGAAGAAAACTTTAAGTATTTGGCGTGCTATTATGAATGAATGGTATTTATTTTCTTCGGTTTAGGTCATACTGTCAATTTGGTTGATGACAAGTTAGACAACTCCTACTGCTATGCCGATGTCCATTTTATGGCAATTAAATCTCTGGCTTTTGTCGCGTCCGGGTTATATATAATAGTGCAGTCCACACCTCCTTGCTTATATTAGATCATAATATTAATCTCTATTGGTACTTGCAAAACCGACAATAATAAGTAATAGTGGTCGACTGGTCGCGTTATAACTTTTTGACGGTATTAGTTGTTTTTTTAGAAGCAAAAAAAAATATGACAGTTAAATTGAATATTGGCGGAACTATACATTTTATTGCAAAATATGATATTGTCGGTTGGAAATAATCTAACTATCGTGAATCACTATCACACAATAAGTACAAAACACGTATCCAAAGATCTGATAAATCCAAAATATTGATATATTTTCTAAACGTATAATATGACCAGCTCTAACTATGATTCTTATTGTGATTAAAATTCCTTAATATAATTCAACCAACCCTTAAATTAATACTTTATAGTAGTTTTTCGGAGGTTCCAATGCTTGGTTCCTAGTATTAATCGCCATGTCTTGTTTTATCTAACAAACAACACTATCTTATTTTTCAAAACATCACAACTCCAATTTTAGAACCAACAACACACACCCACTTATGTAAAACATGGGAGCTCAAAGAAAAAACCTTAAACCTACCCTAATGCCACAACCCAAACAATCAACAACCCTACAATTTCTCTTCGATCTTGATTCAAAATGTTGCACGAGTCAAAACGATGATAAAATCATTCAATCTTTAGATTCTAGAAACGATGAACTTTCAACAATAATCATTTATTGCACTCGGTCTCGTTTGGATGCTCAAGAATTGGCTTTGAAACGACTCAAACTTACACAACTTTTATCGATCATCAAAACATCAATAACTCCGGTTTCTGATGAAACACTAGAGATTTTGTTGAAGATGGTGGCTTCTAATCTCTTCCGCCCTCTCCCACCACCATATGTGGGAACATGTTCAGGGGAAGAGGATGATGTCATCGCCGCCCCTTCTGCCGCTTGGGCACACTTGCAAATCGTTTATGATATTCTCCTCCGGTTGATAACTAAGAAAGACGTGAAAGCCCTTCGAGGAGAACACAGTGACGAATCCAGAATATTAAATCCCGGTATTGAGTAACATAACTTTTTTCCTAGAATATGCAACACAATATTATTATTTAAAAAAAAAAAAAGGTTATGGAAAATAGAAACAAACATTTTTCATATTTTTCACTGGACAACGTATACATAATACATTGCCTTTTTTTTTTTTAAACTAAAAAGTAAACACAACTTTTGGTATACTTACACATTTAAAAGAATATGTATAATTAATTAATTATAAAATACTTATATTTGTTGTAGTACTTGAATATAGGTGTGTCGCCGGAGGAACATTTCATTGGTCGGAGCTTTGTTCTGAACCTCCTTGCTCTCTTCAACTCCGACGAACCTCGAGAGCGTGACGCCGTGAAGAACATTGTCCACCGGATTTACTCCAAATTCACATTCTACAGATCCTTCATGCGTCAAGCAATGATCGACATTTTGTTGCAATTTATTTATGAATCAGATCACCGGCAAAGTGGGATCGGAGAGATTCTTGAGATTTGGGGAAGTATAATCAATGGATTTATGGTGCCATTGAAGGACGAACACAAGGTTTTTTTATCTAGGGTTTTGATTCCGTTGCATAAGCCTAAGAGTATGACGGGTTACCATCGGCAATTGGCGTATTGTGTGTCGCAGTTTGTGCAGAAAGAGGCGGAGCTTGGTGGCGTTGTGATCGGAAAGATTTTGAGGTATTGGCCGGTGACGAATTGTCAAAAGGAAGTGTTGTTGATCGGAGAAATTGAGGAGATCGTAGAGAATATGGATCGGCGTCAGTACTTGAAGGTGGCTCTTCCATTGTGGTCACAAATCGCAAAGTGCATCAACAGTGACAATTCACAGGTA